ATCGTTCCGCGACGGTGAATCAATACGATCGGTAGATAACAGTTTCGCGTAATCGAGCGGTGATGCAAGACGCTTGTTGACGAGATACCGATTGTCAATATTTAACGTGCAACGACCTTGTGAATTTATCATACGTACATACATTCGTTGAATTTTTTACATTTTTTAAATATTTTAATATTCTGTAAAAAATCACGTCTACTGCTGAAAATAAATAATATTTTCTTCAACGTTTGAAGGAAATAATTTTTAAAGCGTAATGAAAAAAAGAAATCACGTTTGAACTTGAATTTAATTTAAAATTAATGAAATTAGTTTTTTCTTATATTTTGATGTTTTATTTAAAAAAAAAAAAAAAAAAAAGGAATAGGTGAGAAGAAACTTTTGGTTCGTGTTTGAACTTGAAGATTAATTAGTTTTTTTTCTTACATCCTGATGTTTTGTTCTATTAAAAAAAAAAAAAAAACTTTTGGCTCATCCTATAGATCTAACGATGCCTGTCAAACTTGCATTTTTTATTCATGCTTCAGACTCTGTCTCGGAGAAGTCGACGTTAAGGCGTAGAAAGTACGACGAGAGATACATATATGTACGTACGTTGGAAAGTCTCGCATCACGTCGCGGCCGTAAAAGAAAATGGCCATTTCCATAATGTCAGAACCTGTTGTGGTTATTTTCTTCGACACTCGCGGCACGAATTTCTTTAATACGCGCATGTATCCACGACGTGTTTCGGTCATCTTTCTCGCTTGTTGAACATTTTCGGTCTTCGAGCTTCAACGTCCATACTTAGACCGAAAATAAAGACCAACGGTCCATAAAATTATTGCCGATTTCATTTAAAGCTGTATGCCTTTATCTCTACAGAAATATCCTAACACGTTTCCCGTCATTTACATTTTGTTCTCTGATCTTTTCATTTCATTTCTCGCGCAGGTAACTGATGATGATTCAAAGAAAGAAAAAAATTTGAACTGCGAAACATTGATTAATAGAAAATTTAGGTACACTCCTTTGTAGTTAATTTTGCTGAACGAAACCAGAAACTCCTATTTAAAATTGATACTCGCCAGATAATTGAAGATGAAGGACCTTTCTTCGCGTAAAAGTAAAGCTGGTTAATAGAAAATTTAGGTACACACCTTTGTAATTAATTTTGACGAAGACATAACGAAAAATTAAATACAATTAAAGATAAACAACCTTCCTTCGTGTGAAAGTAAAGTTATTGGACATTAATCCAACAAGATTCGATTATCCGATTGACTCTACTGCATGAATTATTTTCAAACTCCAGTTTCTCTCCGATTTTCCGAGCGTCACACGCCTGTGAACTCTAAATTCTCTCATCGTGTCGCATTTTACCGCGAAATTTGCTGAACAGCTACCGAGCGAGGCAAAATCGATTTTTCCCACGGGGAGAGCGAATGAACAGAGGAGGCTCCCTCCCGGAGGAACGAAGAATAGGGTTATATAAATAGGAGAAATTTTTCAACGCAAGCCGCGCAATTGTTGTCCGGCAAAAAAAAAAAAAAAAACCGAGGCATTTACTCACGGCCGCTAAGTATACAAGCGTATATCGACGGAGGATTTTCGCGTTTCCTTTTTTTTCTTTTTCTCTCCCACCCTGCCTCTATTTCCTTCCATGCATCGACGTTGATTTAACGAGGTGCCCTTTTCATTATGTGGAGCAAGAGGAGGAGGCCGGCTTGGTTAACGAAGAGCGGGTAGGTGGGTCGGTCGACGTTAATTGGGCGACGGAAGCTCAAAGAGCTTGAGAGCTTAACTCCGTCGCGGAAAACCGACGCCCCTGCTCTTTTCAAGCTCCTCCGTCGCGAACGCCACATTGTTGATCGCCGGTGGAAACCGGTGGGCCACGTCGTTGCAGCGCACAGCCCTCGGTGAAAAAGATGAGATTTTTTTCCGCGACAGCCGCTCCTTTCCAGCCACCGCCACCGGTTTTTCTTTTTTTTTTTTTCATCGCCTGGTTTCGGGGCCGCGAGAAACTCCTGCGAGAACACGCTTTTACACGAAAAGTCGCGCGCGTTTGTCCACTTGTGCGGATCGGGGTTGGGCTGTGCTCCTTTATGCTCTGGATTCTTTCATCGTCGTGTTTCCTTCGCTCGCGAAGGATGAACATTTACCTGGAAATGAGAACGGCTGTGGAATTTATTTCTCTAGTTTTCATTTTTTTTTGCGAATAATGTCGGAATACAGTAGTTTGCATTCGTGCCACGCACGTTGGGAATATTCTGCCCGAAATTGCAATATTTTCTCAGTTTTAAGTACATTGAAGTATAACCGAGGCAAAACAAATAATAAACTTATTACTTCTTAGTAATTTCTATCCAGTGTTATACCGATGAATTCGAAAAGAAGACGAGTTATTGTATACGGTCTGGTCACTCGTTATGGTCCGCGCAACCAGTCACTAGCGCAAGAGGTCAACCCCTGATGACAATATCACGCGAACGTAATGTATGATTTCTTCTTAGACGTATTAAAATGGAAATTCTTTTTGACTGAACTTCTTAAAATTTACCAAATGTTTAATGGGTTGGTAATTCAATGGATTTTTATAAATTCTTAACCTCTTGCGCTGGAACACCGTGCCACGCACGTCGAGAATATTTGGTCCAAAATTGCAACATTTTCTCAGTTTTAAGTACATTGAAGTATAACCCAGGCAAAACTATATATATAACAATAAATTTATTGCTTCTTAGTAATTTCTATCCAGTGATATATTCGATGAATTCGAAAAGAAGACGAGTTATTGTATACGGTCTGGTCACTCGTTATGGTCCGCGCAACCAGTCACTAGCGGAAAAAGTTAAAAATACATAATATCCCTAATATATACTATAAAATAATATAAAAATATAATATGTTGCTCGCTGTCGATGCGATATTAAAGAAAAATAGAAGAAGAAGAAAAAAAATATAATATAAAATAATATAGAATATAAAAAATATAATATAAAATAATACAAAATATAATATAAAATAATATACAAAGATAATATAATATAAAATTACACAATATCCCTATAATATATAATACACGTTGTCGAAGTGTGGAAAACAGCATATTTTTCAAGCCTCAACGACACAACGTTATATACGAATAAATTCTGTAGCCGCAAGCTGTTTAACGTATTACTGAAACGTCGATAAATTATTGAACGTTGATGTTCTAATATTATTGACCCGTGCGCTTTCATTTATAGAACGTTCATTATTCAGTGATAGCCGCGAGAATGTATTTCACTGCGATTAAATTGCTAAACTTGGAAAACTTGATACGAAGTATTTCTACGCAGTTTCTAGACACTATCGAGATCGACGCTTTACAATTGAAAAGTGTGCGATGAATTAAAAGAAATTTCATAGAAACTGGCGTTTATTATTTGCAATATTTCGTCGTTAGGGGATAATAACGAATTAATAAGTAAAACACGATGAATACGATAAAGTGGAACTCTTCTCGTCGAGATGTAAGTATCTTAAAGCAACTTTTACAAAGCGGCTCAGTGGTCTAGGGGTATGATTCTCGCTTTGGGTGCGAGAGGTCCCGGGTTCAAATCCCGGCTGAGCCCATTCTTTTTTTTTTTCTTTTTTTTTTTCTCGCGACAATCTTTCGCGAAGATAAATTTTCTTTTACAAATTTCCAAAAATCGCAAAAATTGCCTTTACAATTTTCGTAGAAACGACATTTGTAAAGACGTGGACAAGATGAAATAAAAACGTTGAGATGTTGATTATCTGTTTCGAAAGAGTATCTATATTTGAACTCTACTTTCACATGGTTGTATATATATATATGTGGTTATATATGTAATCCAGTTTTAATACAAGTACATAAGTAATATATATATACACACACACGCACATAAAACGAATAACGTTTATGAAACAAATGTAAAAAATACTTATCAATATTAATCACAAGTTGTGTTCATACTGTAGGAAAGAGTGATAAGTAACGGCTCAGTGGTCTAGGGGTATGATTCTCGCTTTGGGTGCGAGAGGTCCCGGGTTCAAATCCCGGCTGAGCCCTGTTTTTTTTCTTCTTTTTTCGCAAATTTTTGAACCTCACATTAGAATTTTATCGTTAGACTCTGTCGCTCTGGAATATTATTACAGATACCCATAAGCAGTGTCGTTTTTTTTCAAATTTAACAAATAATAATTAATTTGATGTTATAACATAATTTATTACTACATAATTAAATTATAATATATTATAATAAATTATAACATAATTTATACATATTTATAACATGATTTGCCAGTGAATAATAAAATTTTGCACAGTATCAAAAAAACGACATTACCCCCATTATATGCCTTTTCAAGACATTGAAGACATTGTTGTATAATAGTTAATCAAGTAGTAATTAATATCATTATTACCATATATATATATATAATGTTATTAATAAACAAAACAAATTAGACTGTGCTATATATATCTCTAGAAACAGTAGATATAAAACACGATCCAATTCTTTATATAAATCGTTAATCATTTATGTATCATTTACCGGGTCATTTTGATCCGTCGCTTCTCATTCGTCGTTAGAAAAAAATTTTCAAACTCTTAATTGAACACCGTGTGCAATACTACACAATGACAATTTTTTACATAGTTCTGTGTATCTCCACCGAGGCGATCTAGTAATCAAAATAACCCGGCGTTCGTTATTTCAAGCGAATGATTAATTAATACCCGCCTCTCTTTCGTCGTACTCTCGTTTCGAATGGGATTCAACAATCGAATTTTAAAATGCGTCGAAGCCTCTCTTAAATTTCTCGATTGTCGCGTTTCTTTTAACCTCTCCTCCTCCTGACAATGCTCTGTTTGTGTCGGGGGACGGACAAAGCCATGTCGTTTCCATTGTCACATTGTAAACATTATTATCAAATCATTCGGTATCAGTGTCGCGTCCCGTGCGGGCTCAATTGACTAAAGCATTGTTGTTTATCTATTATTCCAGGCCCGGCACCATGGCGGCTGAGGAGGGTGCGCTGAGTGGCGGACTCGGGGCAAAATTAAAATGTCCGACCCCTATATCACGCTTGAGGGTAGAGAAGATCGAGGGTGGTCTCATGGTAGCTGGGGTTGTAATAGCTGCGAACTGCCAGATTGCTCTTCCGGCATTCGGCTTTCTCTTTATGCTCGTCGGCGCTGTGCTCACTGGTTTGTATCTTCCTTCTGATTGTTTCCACCTAGCTTCGCGTGTATGCATGTATGTGCACGTGTGCATGTGTATCCTATATTTGAGACCATTGTACTCGGCCCCCGATTGTCTGGTAATATCGGAACGAAGTGACGGAGAAAAAAAGTTAACGAATGGATGATCAATGGATAACGATTAACATTAGAACTATCGAAGTGGTCAGGATGACTAATTTGTGATTTTTTTTTTTTTTTTTTTTTTAGATATTATACATACATTACAGATGCAAAATAGTGTATTTTTAAAAGAAAAAAGTAATTTTGAAAATTAATTCATTTTATTTGCGAATTTTCTCAAGTTCGCCAAGTTATTTGAAATATAACTTGTGATAAATAGAGATACAATGTTGCACAATAGTTTTATTACAACGACAAGTAAATGTATTTCTAATCTGTCAAATTTCCATGGACAAAAACTTTTTTTTTATATATATATACATTACAGATGTAAAATAGTGTATTTTTAGAGGTTCAAATGATTTTTTATAAAATACATGAATAAAAGTTTCTGTATCCTAGTGTATTTCTATTGTTTTTCACTTTAATATCTCTGATGAAAATTCTATGCTTTAGTCCTTGGTAGTTTTAGTGCTAAGAGATTACATATGCACGTTTGATGAAAGTCGATTTTTCAAAAATCGTACATTCTGTTATTATGATTCTTTCTGCTCTAGAAAGTGATTAACTCGCAGCTTTTGTCTGTTTTTTTTTTTTTTTCAGAATGTAGTTTCAACTTCGAAAGATCAAGACGATTCACTTTTTTCATAGTTTCGACAATTTTAATTGGCAAAAAGCAATTTTGAAAATTAATTCATTTCATTTGTGAATTTTCTCTGCCAAATTATTTGAAATATAACTTGTAATAAATAAAGATACAATGTTGCATAAAAGTTTTATTATAATGACAAGCAAATGTATTTCTAATCTGTCAAATTTCCATGGACAAAAACTTTTTTTTTATATATATACATTACAGATGCAAAATAGTGTATTTTTAGAGGTTCAAATGATTTTTTATAAAATACACGAATAAAAGTTTCTGTATCCTAGTGTATTTCTATTGTTTTTCACTTTAATATCTCTGATGAAAATTCTATGCTTTAGTCCTTGGTAGTTTTAGTGTTAAGAGATTCACTTTTTTCATAGTTTCGACAATTTTAATTGGCAAAAAGCAATTTTGAAAATTAATTCATTTCATTTGTGAATTTTCTCTGCCAAATTATTTGAAATATAACTTGTAATAAATAAAGATACAATGTTGCATAAAAGTTTTATTATAATGACAAGCAAATGTATTTCTAATCTGTCGAATTACCTTAGACAAAATCTTTTTTTCTTCAAACTCGTTTCTGATAAGAGGGAACATTCGCGGGGCAATAAACCACATTGCAATTTTTTCCTCTTTCTTCGTCGTGATTTCCACGAGCCTGCACTACAATATTCGCGCTGTTTTTTTTCTTTTTCATAAAGCTTGGAACTCGACACAATTCTTCACGTGTCCCTCTTAATTGAAATTTTCACATTTGTTAAACTCTCGTTTTTCTTATTCCACGGAAACTAATAAACGCTTATTAAATTCTCGCGAAGGATGAAAGCATCGGTGTTTAACGACAGCGAACCAAATTTCACGTTTTTCGAATCTTCCTCCCTTCGACAGGATGGAACTGCTTAATTATTGTTATAACGTTTCAAGTATGACATTCAGTTTAAATTTAAATCCATTTAAATTCATTTTCACCTTTTTCCATTCGACCCATCAATTCTTTGCTAACTAAAATTGCCATTCGTTTCGTTTTATTATCCGAAAATGTGTAACACGCAGTCCTGATCAATTTTCTGCTAGCAAAAATACCATTTGCTTGTTATAAAGTATATCATATTATCACGCAGTGTGTAATTAAAAAGTACCATTTGTTTATTTTATTAACTGATCAATCTTCTGCTGACGAAAGTGCCATTTGTTTGTTTTGTTACGTGAAAATGTACCATATTATCGGATCAATTTCCTGTTGGAAGAACTAGAGAATTCGTTCGTTCTGTTACTTTTAAGACAATCTCGTAAAAATGAGTCGCGAGTTTCGAGCTCGAACTCCTAAACTCGGAGATTCGATCTCTCTAGATCGTGTAATCCAACGATGATTATAAATATTATCGTAGACTGTGGAATATTAACTTTGAGAGCTTGAATCTCAAAAGCTTCTGAAGCTTGACAATAGCCTACTAACCTAACCTAAAAGGTCAGCTTGTTTCAAGATTGAGCCTCGAAGCTTCGAAGACACGATGTTTGTACAACAAGATACATCATCTCGTTATGCACGATATGCATAAAAACGCTTACCGTGTTTTTCCATAGTTACTGCACGAATGCACGAACGCATTAAGCGTTCATACATAATGCCGAAGATGACTGAACCGAGTGTTACGAACTTACGTAATCGGCGTATCTTCGGGACATAATTCAGTGCAAAATTACTATACTGCGAGCGACCGAGTCGTTCGCTACTTTCCACTTTGGTGAAAGTGCACAGACCTGGAATCGTAGTGTTCGAGAAAGTTAACGAACGAGAGGATCGATCTGTAAATATCGTTTAAATTCATGCCGTCTTTTGTAAATACTTATATCCACTCGTGTGCATTTTGCATCGGCCGGGAAATATTCTTCGTCATTTCTTAAATATTCATCGTTTTTATGTCGTTCTTGAAAATTGCGGGAAATTAAAAAAACATGAAGGATATTTAATAAATATTAAAAATTAAAGAAATATTAACAATTAAATATTAAGAATTAAAGAAATATGAACAATTAAATATTAAGAATTAAAGAAATATTAACAATTAAATATTAAAAATTAAAAAAAATATTTAAAGAAATATTAAAAATTAAAAAAATATTAACAATTAAATATTAAAAATTAAAGAAATATTAACAATTAAATATTAAAAATTTAAGAAATATTAACAATTAAATATTAAAAATTAAAGAAATATTAACAATTAAATATTAAGAAAGAAGAAAAGAAGAATATTAATGGAATGAAACTTTGTTCTCTCCTATTTCCTTTGCAAATTTGTTGCTTCTGAGAAAACGCTGGGAACTAATACAACGTAGCTGATAAATAATTATCGTATATAGAAGCGTGATAATGACGCGATTTTTTTTTTCTCCCCACATTGGGTGGGAGTACGGCGCCAGTGAATTCTTCGCGAGATACCGGGGCGCGGAGAATTTAATTTTCGATATTATATACGCCGGCTTGACGAAGCTGCTCGTAAATCAATTGCCAGCCAACTGTAGTGAAAATTCAGGACGACTAATTCCAATGTCTGGCAACTTTCGAATTAACGTCGGTTTCTAAATGAATCATTTCTAATAATTGCGTATCCGCACTGATTCTACGTTTCTTTCTGCAAATGGATCATCTCTCGTTGCACGTACGTTCTTTTTTTTTTATTTTTACTAAAATGTAGCTACTGATGGTTAAGAATTACTGACCTAAGTACAAAATACTTCCTTTACGAGTTACAAATCAATACTTCTGACAAATAAGTAAATATTAAATATTTTTGACTGGTAGTTAGAAGTTATTAAATACCTCTACGATTAGGAATTATTGTACGAATCTAAATGTCATATACTTGTGCTAATTATTAAAAATTACTAATCTAAACGCTAAAAATGTTTCTTGATAATGATAAACGTCTATCGTAAATAATAAATAGTTTTATCAGTAATTGGAAGTTGCTAGTCTAAATACTAAATATCTCTACTGATAACTAGAAATTATTGCACTATAAATATTAAACGCTTCCACTGACGTTCAAAAATCACCAATCCCGAAATAAAATAATTCAAACGAAATAATAACTTCTCTTGAGCAATTACAAGTGAAATATTTTTATTGATTTATTGACAGTTGCAAAGAATTGTCATTTTCAACTGACAAGAGTTGTTGATTTAAACCGCGTTTTTCATCGTTCGTATGAACATGATTTTCGTGCGGAATATTATTCCATTAAAGTTGGTTGATAAACTGTAGATTAAGGCTGAACTTTAGGTTGAATAATATGTTATGGGTCGCAGATAACACGGAGAAATAGTCATTCAAGAAGCCGTAGTTCGTTACATCATAAAACGAGCGTAAGAAGGTACGCATAATTCAATACTTTCATACGTATACGTCCTCTGTCAAGTTTGCTTGTTACATAAATCGTACGGCGTGTTAACATTGGCTGTCTTTTCAACGAGTACAAAGTGACGTGTAAACAGATTCAACCGCAAATACACGTATGTTTCCTATATTCGTTAAAAAAAAAAAAAAAAAAAAAAAAATAAAAAAAAAAAAAAAAAAAAAAAAATGAAAAATAAAATGGAATGGACTTTCGTCTTCGTAAGATAATCGCGAAATATAAATTCCTACGTTCGTAATTTCTATTTCTGCGAGAGATGTTTAGAAATTCTGTTTCTTCGTTCGTTGGAAAATCTGATTGTAAACGATCAGGTTACTAATAATGTTACACTTGGTACAATATTTCCTTTCGTATATTATATCACAGTTTATCTGACGTTTGTCTTACGTACGTGGCTCGAATGACAAGTTGTACCGCTCGTAAATCAATTAATTCGATGAAAATGAAAATCCTAAAATTTTAAGATGAAAAAACGAACAAATAAACTAATAAATTCGCATGAAAAAATTCTGCCAAAGCTTCTGAACTATTAGATAATAAAATACAAACGCAGACTTCAGTTCAGAGACGATTAATTTCCAATTTAGCACGTTCCTGAATCATTCTTTCTATTTCTATAAATATTTTAGACTAATTAAAATAATTGAAACAAGATGAGTATCATTGACAAAGAATTTTAAGTAACATGAATACGCTTTCGGTGTAGCTTATTGTAATATAAATAAATATTCTTGTTATATAATGTAATTATATATCAATTATTAATTATAATT